TCCTCCATCAAAATGAACAACCATTTAATGTGCTTGATGAGTTTTCTGTAGATGGGTAGCAGCTAAAAGAGGGTAGGAGATATATGTTCCCTATCACTGTGCTTCTATCAAGCTGATGGGTTTTTCTCTCAAGCAGAGCAAACGGAGTCATTAACTCATCTGCCCAGATCATGGTTGGCAAATACCTGGTGTCTCCCCACCCCCGCACCCATGGCAGATGACGATAATTGATAATGGCTCCTAAAACGCAGATGCAGTCCTATACATAATGACATGGAAGGATGATCACCAAAAGCAAGTTCCACAGTAATAGCAAGAGTCGTCCATTTACATAAATTTACTTGCATCAGAAAAAGCCTACGAGGATAAAAACGGAATTGTTAATGGTAGCTATCTCTGATGGATTTCAGGAGACTCTATTTTCTGCTTCTTTACATTTTCCTATAATCATATGACATTTATATACCACCTAAAAATTCTAAAAGAAACAAAAGGTATACACTCTCAGTCTGACCAAGTATTCTCCCCCTGCATTCAGAGGAACACACACGATTGTACCAGTGAAACAGTTCTTGTAAAACAAGGTTCCACAGGCTCCATTATTTTGTCACTTTTCACCTCACTCCTGAATCACCAAGGAGGCCCACTTCATCCTTCCCTCTGGTTTAACTTCTCTTTACCTGAAATCACTCACTGTGCCTCCTAGCACGATGCTGGCCTGCGTGACAGGAAGTGCAGCCCCAAACAGTTCTAGGACTCCTGAGCAATCTGCAAGGTGCACAATTTCCTAAAAGTGAAAGATTTTGTCGCCAAGCGGGAACCCACAGCCCCAGCACAAAGCATCTGCTCGTCCTGCAGTGCTGCTCTGGCTGGACACGTACAAGGACAGCCCCGTGGCTGGGCGGCCGGGCCCAGTGCCAAGCAGGTCCAGGGGAAGGCGAAGCCCACAGTGTGGCCTCAAGAGACGTTGGACTGGCTGAGGCTCACGTGGCCAGTCGCGGTCAAGTGCAAGCCTCCCTCTCTAAGGAGTCCTTCGTCCTGGTCTGCTCACAAATGTAAAGCCCCAAGAAAAGGGGAACGGCACTTTCGAGACAGTTCCATCAGAGAAGCAGCCAGTGGGGCACACTGCACCGGTGTTTCTTCCTGACCACTGCTGGCAACAGGAAGAAAGGTGCTTGAGCATTTGCTATGCTTGTGCCATCCTCATTGTTTTTTTAAAAAAACTGTTTCGCTGAAGGTTACAGATGGATTTGCCTGAGCAAGTGAGGCTGTTGTGCAGTTTACTGTGGTAAGCCACTCCCGGCAGAAAGCCTTCTAGAAAGTTATTCAGTGACTGTATACCGCTAGAACACACCTTGGCATCAAGAGCAGCCATCTCTCACTCTGTCTACCCAATGAGAGTAAACCGCTTTATTAACGTTCTGTACTTGCAACCAGGGGACCACAAACTGGTACCATCCATGGCCTGTCAGGAACCAGGCCACACAGCAGAAGGTCAGTGGTGGGTGAGTGGAGCTCTGCCTTCTGTCAGACCAGCAGGGGTATTAGATTCTCACAGGAGCACGAACTCTAGTATGAACTGCACATGCAAGGGATCTAGTTTTTGTGCACCTTATGAGAATCTAATGACTGATGGTCACCCCACTCCCGCCATCCCATCTGTGGAGAAACCGTCTTCCGTGAAACCAGTCCCTGATGCCAAAAAGGTTGGAGATTGCTGCTCTAAACATGGGCCAGTGACTGGGAGCCAGCTAGTACTTTTGAAAATGAAGTTCCACACAGAACCCTGAAGCACAGGGCAAAATAAAAAGTGCTCTGGAAGTATTAAAAGATCCCTGAAAGTCAGTTTTCAAAGAAAGAACTCTGAGAGAAAGTAAAAGAGGAAAAGGGAAAAGAAATAAGCTAGCTGCAAAAACACCATATCTGTGCCAGTCTGTCCAAGGCCTCTGTTAGTAAACAATGATGTTCCCCTCACTTGTGACGTCTGCAAACAACAGGGCTCTGCACAGCTATGTCCCGTGGTGGAAGCCGGGCAGGGGCTGCTGCCGGAATCCCCTCTCACACCTGGGCAGGCCTCTGTCTCACTGCAGAAATCTGGGCTGTTGCCTCGGCCCTGGTCCTTAATGGCTCTAGGATGAGACCAGCAGGAGCAGCAGCTGCTGTAGCCAATTTTACTTTCAAGTCACACTGGCCACAGGGAAAGAGCTAAATATAGGAGGACGCAGGGCATGGATCACAGCTACACTGGAGGGGTGGGCCTTCTTCTCTCACCGGGGGGCCGCTCCTTCCTTGGCCCCTGAGCCCGTCTGCTGGCACAAAAGCACCTTCCACAGCACAGAGTCGCCCAACACTGAAGACAAAGCGACCTCAGGATTGCTGCCCTACCCTGCTTCCTCATTTGGCGGGCTTTGCAGAGCACAGCAGTACGTCAGCATAATGACGTTTTGGTCAATGAAGGACTATATACAATGGAGGTCCCATAAGATTATAACGGAGCATGTACAGACATTGGATACATGGCACTTGACATTGGCATTGCAACTGAACACAGGGGAGATGACTGATATTCCGTAATGGTGCTGGGACATTTGGTTTTCCATGTGAAAAATAACTATACCATCTAGATTTGTGTGAGTACACTCTAACATCCACACAATGACAAAACTGCCTAATGACATCTTTTTTAGACCGTCCCGTCATTAAGTAATGCCTGGCCTTAGTCTAGAAGTCAGGTTTCTGGCTAGTTCACAGATCCACAACAAAGCTCAGGACCAGTGAGCCCAACACCCTGCACTTCCAAACAATACGTCTGCATCCACCCACGATTCACTCACAGGGCATCTACACTCAGATTCTTTTTTGGAGCTTATTTATTTTTTATTTCACACTCAAACCTACGAGGTCTGATTAGGTTATTTCCAATGGCCTCAAAAATCGTAAGTAGCCAATAAAAAAAGGTAGAGGAAATACATCGCTTGCAGAGGAGTCTTTAGAACTATCAAGAAGTGACAGATAAAAATTCAAGAGAAAAACTACAAGAAGCAGTCAAGAAAACTAACAGAATCTAGCAACCTGAAATTGTCTTGCAAAACAGACCCTGGGGACATAATGAATCAAACGATAGTGACCTTGGGTGCAGAAAACATCAGCTTTCCATTCCATATACACTTAAGATGTGCAATAGAGTATGAATAAGATGCTGGCACTAAGTCCTGGCAAAAATATGAACATATAGTTAATTTTTACGTTCTGCTATTTTACAGGATGAATCACAAACTATTTACAAAACTCAGCTAGCCAGAAGGACTAATTACTTGAGGATTTTAGGGCACAATAAAACTAAGAGACTTTATTTTATTGCTGGCATTGACAGCCATGGCTTAATCAATAAAAACAACCTTAATTAGGAAGCCTATTTCTCCAAGGTCTCCCTATCCAAAAAATAACTAACTTCTATCCAGAGATCATCCTTGAGCAGGATTCTATAATATGCTGCCCCTGTATGAACATAGTTTCAAGAATCATGAGTTATTTTCGCAGCACAGACTAAAAAGCAGGTCCAAGATCCTCTGATGTTACTGACTGGAAGGAAATCGCTCATGGTGGTGATACTGATGTACATCTGAAGACAGAATTGAGAAGGGACATGGGGAGAGAAGGAGACACAACAGGGAGCCAAGATTTGTTGGCAAAAATATTTCAGCCCCATTATGTCATCACTATGAGGACAGGGAGGCAACTCACACTAAGTGACCAGTTGCAGTGCAAAGCTCTGCTTATTTGGCTTCATTGTATCAGAATCATTTTGCTTATTTATATGTTGCCATAACACGATTATGGAAGACTGGTTAAATCTGGATTGATACAAAAACAGGAAGGGAAAGAATTATTAATTTAATGATCACAACTTATCTGGCAAATAAATTATTTTAAGCCTATAGTCTGTGGGAAAAAGTAATAGAAAGGCTTCATAGTGGTTAGAATTTACAAGGGACTTAAGTGAACAGAATGATCTCCTAAGGTCAAAGTTACCCCTGGACCTACTTTTAAAAAAATAGTCAAAAATTACATGTAAATATTCTAAAGACAGAAAACAACACTGAAGAAACTAAGAGTAAATCAACTCGCAGTTATCTGCACGGGTGGCGGACTAGTTTATTCACTGAGGTCAAAAAGAGGAGTCAGGTGGGCCCACCTCGGCCTCCACAGGTGATCCATGAGGTTGTTAGAGGCAGCAGAAGGAGAAGTGGCAGATGAAACTGGAGACAGAAAAATATAGCTCTGAAAAGAAAGTGTTACTATAAAAAGGAGCAAGACCAGGCATGGTGGCTCACACCTGTAATCCCAGAAATTTGGGGGGCTAAGGCTTGAGGCCAGGAATTCGAGACTAGCCTGGGCAACATACTGAGACCCTCTCTCTAAAAAAAAAAAATTAGCTGGGCCTGGACCTGGTGGCACTCCCAGCTACTCAGGAGGCCGAAGTAGGAGGATTACTTGAGCCCAAGAACCCAAAGTTACAGTGAGCTATGATCGTGCCACTGTACTCTAGCCTAGGTGACAGCAAGACCTTAAAAAAAAAAGAGAGATAAACAAGGGGCAAAGGTGGCTAGTTGTACCCAATAAGAAGGCACTGAGAAACACCTGTGTGTTTCACTGGGTATGAGCTACTGACACATAGTGGAACCTGTTTCCTGTAGGTCTCTAAAACAGAGCAGATTCTCCTGTTCCTGAGATAATTAAAGACACACAGAGAGAGAGAGACAAGAGAGAGAAAGAAAGAGATAGCAAGACAGAGAGAGAGAATGTCCATACTGTGGATTACCAATCAACAAAGGCAGGGAATTGAGGATTTCTAAAGAAGAGATAGCTACGGAGGGACCATGATGGAGAACAAGGTCAAGTCCAGTGGACCATGACCCTGAAAACGGAGGAAGGTGCTCCAACACAAAGCAAAACGCTGTGACTGGTCCCAAGTCATACCCACATGCGTGCTTCCTTACCTTTCCCATAGAAGAATTTACGGTAATAGTAGGCCCCAAGGTCAATATGCTCTATGATGTAGCGTTTCACTTTCTCCCGGTGAATGGGCTGGTTTTCTCTGGGCACTTCCAAGACCGACACGCCTGCATTTGTGCAGTGAGAACTGAGCGACGACTCGAAAGAACAGCTTTCCCCAGCACTGAAGGAGGACGAGCTGGCCCGAGAAAGCGCAATCCGCCTGTCCCCTTCCCCTCCAGTCTCATTTCTAAAGTAAGGACAACTAAGAACAAGGTCGTTGCTTTTCCCGTCACCCTCATCAGCATCCAGGTTCTCTTTGGAGTTGAGGTCCTCTTTGCTTCCCAAAGGGGACTCACAGCTACCCGTCTGGCCTGTGGGCATCTGGGTCTGGGACGCTGCAGAAGCCCCAGTGGTTATGTTTTTTCTCTTCCCCACATTAGCCCTGGTGGCCATGGCCTCATTAATATTAAACAAAATGCTCTGGACATCATAATGTGCAAAACATCGCTGACAATTCCAAGGGCGAATGCCCCTCTCGAGACGGCTCTCCTCCAGGTCAGAGGTGAACTTGAAAGTTTCGTGCTCACTCTTAACAGTTCGAAGCTTTCGGAAGAGGGATGTTTCCACGGACTCGGATTTTAACCTTCGTTTGAAAGGCTTGTCCCTGTCTCTCCCCATCAGGAGGGCGCTGTCCATGTAGTCTAATTCTGACATGCGGACAAATTCTCCCCTAGAAATCTGTGCTGCTGCATGAAGGCTGGGAGAGATGGCAGGGTCACAGGGAAAAAACTCAGGGAACCCAAAAGGGATCACCGCTTTGTGGTCGTAATTCTCTACACGGTACCCTCTAAGCATAGCAAAAAAGTTCTCACCAGATAAGCCCTGCCTGTCGATGGACGAAGTGCTTCCGTACTCCCGGTGCAGGGCGGCCCCGGTGTTGGGGTTGACTGCGTTTTGGTCTAAGACATCTTCGGCATCAATGTCACTGATGGTGACATCACTATTGCTTCTCTGTCGGATGGGGTGAAGTCCTCTCTGAGGGGAATGAACAAAGATGTCTCCGATTGTATACTTCGCCTCCACAAAATCTAGATCAAGCTGTTCCTCTTGCTGACCTTCGCCCTGGTCATTCTGCCCGTTCTGCATGAGAGAGGTGACACTTTCGTAACTGGCCTGAGACCGGCTTTCCCAGAGCGCCTTGCAGGACAGCTCTTTGGAGCAATCCTTTTTGGGAGGCCATTCAGATACCCTTGCTCTCACGCCCATTTTGGGCACAGCCGGGGTACCATTAGCTGGACCGCCACCACCGCTCTCATTGGAATTGGAGGCATTTAAAGAAGTCGCAGGTCCCATGTTGCCATTCATGGCTTTAAATTTTCTAGCAAAATAGTCATCAGACTGCATGATTCTGGGAGGATCCTTGAACTTTGAAGACGTTCTGCCAAGCTTGTGCTTCTCTTCTTGTGACTGCCTTGGGTCGCTCATGTCTACTGAGGCAAGACGCTCCACGCCTCGCCAAGAAGACTGATGTAAATCTAATTACATTGTTATTTGCAATGCTATAATAAAAGCTGATATAAAGGTTTTGTCTGTAGTTGTATTCTTTCTTTTTCAACCAGAAGCAAACAGCATTCTCAGAATACAGTTTCTCCAAAGCCAACTTTCTTCCCTGTCGCCGTAATAACTGTGTACACCTCTGTTCTTGAGTATTCTTGAATGGTCATGCGTACTTCCTCCACCTGAAATAAAAGACAGGAAATAGGCATTAGCAATTAAGATGGTCAAAGTTCGGTATTCTATACAGTGTGGTTTCTTGTCTTTCTCTCCTGCTTCTGTCTATCAAGTTCTAAATCTCCACAGGACTGTTCATAACACTCCTTCCCTCTGGAACACCTGCCTTCCTTCTCTACATGGATCGGCAGAATCCACGCCACAGAATCAAGCATTAACTTCTCCAGGAATCTTACCTAAGATGCCTCCCCCACTCACCCCATGTCTGAGCAAAGAGTGCGTCTTCTGTGACCCCACAGCACCTGGTCTACATCCAACAGAGCAATTTTTCTTATCTTTAATTGCTGCTTACTGACTAGCTGACTTCAAGCTCCTTTAAGCCTTGAACCATGCCATTCAGCTGTGTACAAGCATTAGCTATTAATGTAGCCTGGCTTAAACTAGGTAATCATGTAACATTTCAGCGAATGAATTAGCTATAAGAGTAGCTTGTCACATATGTATGTTTGAACATAATTATTTTACTTTCTTTCAAAATAGTTAAAGTCAAAATGTCCCACAGCAAAAAGGTCAATATCAGACATTAACAGATGAGTTTTCATCATGAGCACACATAATCAAATTAGAACTCACAGAGAACCTCTTTTAAGCGGGAAGAGGTCTTCAAGGATTTGGTGTCAAGTACATTTCGGTAGAAAGATATTACGTAAGAAATTGTTTTCTTCTGTACCTCAGTTTCCAGGAATGGATTTGATAACAGTCTAAACTGTATAGGAAATAACTACAATTCAGTCATCCTTGATCCTTTTAAATATAATAATTCTAAGTGAAATAGATAAAATGTAGGCATTCATCTTGTCTTTCTGAGAGCCATGGGATAGTATGTCTGTTCTGTTTTGTGCATGTAAGTATCTGACCGCTCATTTTCCCCTTGTTTGCCATATCCAAAATATCATGATATTTCCTCAATTATGGAACAGCTCAGGGAATAGATGGCACATTGTCATGCCCAGATTGATTTTTTTTTATAGTGGGGGTCAACATTCGATACATCTGCTATTCTAAGACACCACCACAGGCTCATCTCAAAGCCATTAAGAGCCCACTGGAAAGAGTTCTTACACTGTTTAGCTATTTGGGATTTTAACATTGTCCAACTAAATTGCAGTTACTTCTTATACTTTGGAGAAGAGGGAGGAAAATCAGCTATAGCATACTTTCATTACCATCATTTTCACAAGAGGTAGAGTGGTTCTTTCATTCTTATGCCAGTGAGTAAGATAGTCTGTCATGAGTTGGGAAAAAATATGATGCCTGGAAATCTTTTTGTCCAATTAAAGAGGAAAGACATTCAAGGAAAAAGAGTTGTAATTAAAGAAAACAGTTATTAGATCAAGCGTCTACAAATGCATGGATAAATTGCAGTGTTTTACATTTCTGGGCGTCTTTATTTTACAAGTCACTTGTAGCATAATCAACTAGAAAGTTGTGCTCTGATACATAACCAGTCCCTTTTTGTTAATATATAATGACATAACAAATGTATCCACAAAACACAAAGAAACATCGGTTTGAAACTCATTTATCCTCCTATTTATAAATCTAATAAATGCCACCTAAAAAATTAAGGCATAATTTTCCTTCCTTCCTTTCTTTCCTTTGGGGCACACACTGAAGTACCAATATCTGGGTAGGACATAGCAGTCAGGCAGGAAAATGCTCAGACTAGAGGCTCAGTTAACAGACTGATCGTTTTTGGCCCAACCCACCACTCTCAGAGCCGAGCAATCCACCACCCCCAGCAGCCCAGCATCCACTCACAGCTGTAACCTATTCACCTCACTCAATGAGGAAGCTCTGCGTTTAGGCCAGTAACTACGAGATGTGCAAAACAAAATCCCAGAGAAACTATTAACCTTTTGAACTCAGTTGTCCCCTCTGAGGGGACATCACAAATCTAATCTAACCACTTGGATGTCCCCTCTCAGGGGACATAAAGAGATTGCTGGGACAAGACAAGACAAATTTATGCAAATGCAAGTTTTTAAAAATGTACGTTTCCCTGAGGCTTTCCATTCAAACTGCATGAAAAAGCAAATAAACAGATGGAGTATATACTGAGATATGACTGATCAGTTGAGAAGTGGTTTTCAGGAATCATGAGTGCATCCTTCCACATCTTCTCCAAACAGCAGACTGGACAAAAAATTACATCTTGTTAATGTGGGAGGAAGAAAATCAGACCGCTCAAGTAGAAAAAGACCAGGTGAAACATGTCAAACAAATTACCATTGTACAACATGTATCAATGAACCTGGAATGCATGTTGGTGACTGTTGGACACATTACCACAGGTTAGAAAAATACGCTCTAAAATTTGGATTTACTATCATAAATAAGTTCCTCAATGTCCAAAATTCCATTATAAGCCAAATATCATTACAATAAAATAATTGGTTCCAGCACTATACTACTTAATATGAAGAGATTTTCTTTTTTCACCATTTCATTAAAAACTGCAGTCAAGTTTCTCGTAGGTGATCTGCAAAATGTCTCCAAGTACAAAGGGTTAAATATTAAAACGAGAATTAGCAAGGACAAGATGTACACTGAATAGTTCATCCTGGAAAACCTGACCATGAAATCATCAGAATTTACTGGGCTCAGACTCCTATCTGAAAATCTATCTTCTAGGCTTTCATGTTCCTCTACATTTGTAGCTTTCTCACTGTTTGACACTAAATACCAAACACTAAAAATACAAAATGTTTATCCCATAAAGTTCTTAAAGAAAGGCATAAAAAAGTAAAAAAAAAAACAAAAAAAAACAAATCAAATATAAATAATATATACAATTAAAAATAGATGAATTTATGTTGAATTTTGTTATTAGGTTTGTTACAAAAGACAAGAACTATAGCAAATTTAGAGTATACAAAATTCTTTCCTAATGATATCTGAGAATATTCTTTCTGTTGTGATTTTTAAAAATGTTTGGTGATAACGCTGGCTCTACCAGACAGCTGTTGATTTTTCCTGTCTAGGATCTATTCCACTTTCTTCTGGTAATGGCATCCTACATTCCTTTCATCTGTGTGGGACTAACTCCACCCCTAAAACGTGACCCAGGTTTGACCAATTAAGAGGACCTCATCCCCTGGCCCCCGTCCCGACCCATCTCTCCACACCTCCTCCTCAGAGATTTTGCTCCACTGTAACTTACTGAAATTGCGTTGTTTAGTGTGTCTGTCTGTCTGTCTCTCTCTCTCTCCCCTCCCTTGTTTTCTATACTATGCCCCACTTACACCAAGAGTCTTCTGAGTCTCCAGACAGCCCACTCGCCAGGCCTCTGTCCCAGCTGCTCCTGCTACATGGAGCACTGCCAGCCTGAGCTGCACCAACAGCCGTTCACAGCCATCACTTCCCACTTCCCCTCCCCACCCCCACTGGGCCACCCTACAACTTCCTCCCACTGTGTCCTCTACTTCCTAAACACCCATTTTCCATGCCTTCTAATGATTTCTGGCTTCTCTCTGGATGTATCTCCCCAACTAGAAAGCTCTGTGAATCCGGGATTATGTTTGCTTTGTTCTCAATTTTGTGGGTAGCACCTGGTACAGTTTCCAGTCTGTGGCAGATGTTCAATAAATATGATTAACTAAATCAACAAATTATTAAACAAATACATAACAGGGTAACCCCTTATAAGGTACAATACTTAAATGGAAAGTTCTTATAACGAGACGCCACAATCACAAAAGTTCAATTTAATATAACTTTGCAGAAACCTGCTCATTCTGTAGAGTCAGAAAACCACGAATAGTTGTAACACTTTGTAGGACACTTTCTGCCCCGAGGCATTTTCCCAAGTCCTTACGACAACGGATGAACGTGACATGCAACAACTATTCCACTCTGAAAAGAGAGGTTCCCACCCCTACTTCCACACCAAACGAGGCGGTCACATGTCTTCTAAGTGTTGGCGAAGACAGAAACGCCAGGCTTCACCTTCGAAGCGTCTCAGCAGCCGCCTCTCTCGGGCCGAGGGCCCATCTCCAAACCTGGTAAGCAAGGAGGAGGCCTGAACGGCCCATCCTGCCGGCCATCTCTTCCCTGCATGCTGGGTCGAGCAGCTGACGGGTGCTGAGCTCCACTTTCTTCAGATGGCATGCCGCCAGCGTCCCGGGGCTCTGGGTGCGGGCTGCATGCCATGGATGGTACACTCCAAGACAGGATGGCACATGGAAACTGTACAGTCAGAGGACGTGGCCAAAAGGGCACCACCTTGGCCTCCTGTCTAAGCTGGGGATGAAGTCACATGAAGTGAAGAGCCCCTCCGTGTCCCCTTCCGAATGGACAGTTGTGAGCCTGCTCCCGCCTGTCTCTCTGTGACTTGACATCACCTCGCCATTCTGGCAGAGTGTAAAAAACTGGTTATAACAGCTTTATGTTGGCAAATGTAGTTTTCCAACAAAAATACCTGGTATTCTCCTTCAAAAAGCAAAAGTGGGCCAGGTGCCATGGCTTACATCTGTAACCCCAGCGCTTTGGGAGGCCAAGGCGGGAGGATGACTTGAGCCCAGGAGCTCAAAACCAGCCTGGGCAACATATTGAGACCTCATCTTTATTAAAAAAATTAAAAAATCACCCGGGCATGGTGGCACGTGCCTGTAGTCTCAGCTACTCAGGAAGTTGAGGTGGAAGGATCACCTGAGCCTGAGAAGTCAAGGCTGCGGTGAGCAACCTGGGCAATGGAGTGAGATCCTGACTCAAAAAATAAAATAAAATAAAATAAAATAAAATAAAATAAAATAAAATAAAATAAAAAAGTAAAAAGCTAAAGTGCCATTAAACATTAAAAAGGTGCGGCAAAAAATGGATCCTCACTGTACATGCACATGGTAGATACCACCCTTACCACTCGCTGCTGCCAACCTTATTCTAAGAGTATAAGGAGTTCTACCACCCTCCTAGTGAATGGCTAAATAAGCTCATACTTCTAAGTTGC